CATTTGATGCCGTGTGGCGAAAGCCGGGAGTATACGGAGGCCAGAAGGCCGACCCTCCTTCTATCGACTAGGACCATCAACACAAGAACATGGAATGTGAGAACCACGTATGAGACGGGAAAACATCGCAAGTAGTCGCAGAGATGAAGAACTACAACCTCACTGTAGAAACCAATCCCCCACCTCGCCCCAGTCCAAGCGTATGATAGCATAAATAGCTCCACATTCGCACGGGTTATAAAATTTGTAAGGACTTCGTTAGTTGAAGGTCGACCAACGTTATTTGTTTAGGCAGTATTCCCAAATCGTCAGGTAATGTCTCCTATCTTCGCTTGTTTCATATTTCATCCTGTGTTATCCGTGTTTCCTATGTTATTTCATCGTTGTAATTGGTTGTTCCGCTCTTAATTTATTATGTCTGTAACCTTCGTTCTAGAAACCAGTGGCAACTACATGTTTACTAAGAGTTCAAGAATATCAAAATTCTTTACGCCTTCGAATATTTGCTGGTGCGTGTTAACACTCACAGTAATTGGAATCAGTGAGACCCATTGGACACAGTCAGGACAAAGAAGACTGCTCACCAGAGATATGCTGTATTCCAGCCAAGAAGAAGACAATGCTCCACACACAGAAGGCATTGCCCTCATGCTGTCAGGACCAGCACAACAAGCTATGATAGGATGGGAAGCACACGGATCAAGAATCATCGCAGCATCCTTCAGAACAGAGAAGAAGAAGATCAAGATTAATGTTATCCAGTGCTATGCGCCAACCAATGACAACGATGAAGAAGCTAAGGACTGGTTCTACGGCAGAATGCAGAATGTCCTGGCCAAGTACCCAGAGAAAGACCTCAGCATCCTCATGGGCGACCTTAATGCCAAGATTGGACAAGACAACTTCAGATGAGATGGGAAGACACGGACTGGGCGAGATGAACGAGAACGGCGAGAGATTTGCAGACCTCTGTGCTATGAACAACCTGGTCATTGATGGCAGCACTTTTCCCCAAAGAAGAATACATACTTTATTATTTATTGTCGCCTCCCCAATGGGGCTTTTCAGGAACAATATATAAATTACTGACTATACATTCAAATAAAATTAATTAATCACAACATCTAATATAATATTAATTAATTAATCACAACATCTAATATAAGTATATAAAACCATATGTACACGTTGGTTAAAAAAAATAGATATTCTAATCAGAAGTACTAATCAGATTTCAAAAATTCAGAAATAAGCAAAGATTTTAGTTTTCTTTTAAACATATCAGTGTTCGCAGCAAGTTTCAGTTCTGTATCCAGACCGTTCCAGAGGCTAACAGTTCTATAGTGAAAGATCTTTGACCGGTTGCTGTCTTGCAAAGTGGGATCTGTAGTTTCTGTGAGTTCCTTGTCGAACGTGTTGAGATTTTTGATCTTTGAACAAAAAGTGAAATCAGGGCCTCAGGCGCGCACCCAGTCATGCATTTGAAGGCCAGAATTGGATTACGGTGGTACAGTTGTTGTCTTCTTGGTATCCAGTGCAATTGTTTAAGAATTGGTGTAATATGGCCGTATTTCTTTTTCTCGCATAAAATACGGCCAGCGAAATTTTGTACAGCTTGGATTCTATTTAAATTATTTTCAGTGGTGTTACACTATACGTTGGAGCAATAATACAGTTTGCCGAAAACTAACGCGTTTATCAGGATTTTTAATGTATCTTTGTTGAATGCATGCTTCACACGGTTGATTTGTTCCAGCCTGGACATGCAACTAGCAACTGTTGACTCCACATGATCTCTGTATGTAGTTTGAGTCATCACTCCCAAGTCCTTGGCACAATCGACAGGCAGGAGCTCTTTTCCCAAAAGTGTTAGAGGGAAGTCTCCAACTTTGGCTGTCATTGCTCTACTTCCAAAGATGACAAGATTGGTTTTTTCGGGATTTAGTAAAAGAAAGTTCACAAATGTCCAGTCAGATATTTTACTTAGGTCATCATTAACCTTGCAGATGGCATTTTCTTTATTGTCAAGGCTGAACTTCAAGAGTAGTTTAGTATCATCCACATAGTATTGAGTGCTACAAGATGTGGCAATACTTGGAAGGTCGTTAATATAAATATTGAAAAGAAGTGGTCCCAAAATACTCCCCTGGGGCACACCGCAGGACAGTGGTATCGAGGAGACAGATAGCTGTTGAACCACTTAATGGCTTGGGCCGAAAGCCCAACGTCCTGTAGCTTTGCTATAAGAACATTGTGGTTGATGGAATCAAAGGCTTTACTGAAATCGAGTAGAACAATTGCAGAAAGTTTCTTTTTGTCGATACCTTCCAATATGGAATCAGTTGTAAGGTTAACAGAAGTTTCAGTTGAGTTCCATTTCGTATTCCCCATTTGTTTAGAGCTCAGTCGTTGATTAATCGACAAATATGAGGTGAGTTGGTGATGGGCAACCCTCTCGCAAACTTTAGATAGTATTGGCAAAGGGAGATAGGCCGATTATTACTTGGAATTTCTGGGTCACCGACCTTTAAAATAGGAACAACTTCAGCTTTTTTGCAGTCGATCGGAAACTGAGATGATTTGAATGTGGCATGCATTAACAATTGAAGTGACTGATGGCAGTATAGATGGTAGGAAATCTTTGATAACATACATGAGAATTTTGTTGATTCCAGGAGCTTTATTTGATGACATAGAGGAAATAACACGTTCCACTTGATCACAACTCACACAATCGTTTAATGAAAATTGTTCTAACTCCGGATATTCTTTAGGGACAAAGGCGTTGCTATTGTCATTAATGGAGCTTTGCATTATGCATATCTACGAGTCAGTGACGTTCATTTCTGTCCTGAGAATTCTGGTGTTTTTAACCTTCGTTGGCGCTCTGACAAACTTGAAATGTGTCGAAAAACTCGCAAGAATTGTTCCTTTCTATCCTGGGATCAAATTAGTTCATGATATTGAGTTAAATCCTGGTCCTGGACAATGTTCAAGGAAGGACAACATCAAGATCGCTCACCTCAATGTACGGTAACTTGAGCGAAAAGAACACTTCATTCAAGTGAAAGATACCGTTCTCTCGAATGACTTCGACGTTTTCACCATTTCCAAATCCTGGTTAGACCCTTCTGTAATTAAGTTGGAAATTGAAATTCCTGGATATGATATTTTCAGAGTGGACCGACAAAACCAACGAGGCGGCGGTGTGTGTGCTTACGTTAGACAATGTCTTAAAACTAAAATTCTACGTGAAATCACTCGAGTATCAAGCAACGGTCTGCATCAACTTTGGATGAAAATTCAAATGCGAAATTTTAAGTCATTCTTAGTTTGCACAACCTATCGACCACCAAGTTCCCCAGTAGCATGCCTTGAAGCCGATTTGGGTACAAGTTTGATCTCCGCTTTGTTGTTAAACAAGCCAATTTACAAGTTGCAGTCGACCCCCTCCTCGGAGACCAGCAGGCTCCATTTCGCCAGAACAGATCATGCATTGACCAGCTCGCCACCTTGCACATCATCGTCGAGCAGTCTTTAGAGTGGAACTCCTTGCTCTACATCAACTTTGTCAACCATGAGAAGGCTTTTGACAGCATGGTCCGTGACACCCTCTGGAAGCTGCTACATCACTATGGTGTGCCAACCAAGCTAGTCAACCTGATCAAGAATTCCTATAAAGGAATGACATGTTGAGTGGTCCATGGAGGTCAATTGACGGACAGCTTTGGCGTGAAGACTGGAGTCAGGACAAAGCTGCCTTTTCGCACCTTTCCTTTTCCTCCTGGCGATAGGCTGGATCATGAAGACATCAACTGCAGACAAAAGAAACGAGATCCAGTGGACACTGTTCGACCAGCTAGAGGACCTAGACTTTGCTGACGACATGGCCCTGCTTTCCCTCAGCGATTTCGCCCTTTACACCCATCATCCCTTGTGTAGATGGGGAAGCATGTTCTTGAGAAAAAAAATGGTGCCACTGTGTTTCAGCGCTTGTATTTCTGTAGGGGTTTTTTTCAAGTTAGTTTTCAAGGGACGGTGTCTGATGTGTATGGCGTATATGACGTGATGAATCATTGGATTCATGGGTAATAAATTATGATTGAGTTCAACCACCGAACTAGAATGTTGTCTCAGTACATAACATAATTGGGGACGAGGATTTTGATGTCCAGATTCCTAAATTGGTTTCTAAAATTCATTCCTTCAGGAATAGGAAGTAAATTTTCTAATCAAGTCGTCTAAATTTCTACGGAATCCGGTCAAATCACGCATAAAATAGTTCAGTCGTCGTTCACAACAACCACGTGCTCTTCGACCGACACAGGAAAATGCCAGAATCCGATCAACCTGGTGGATCTACACCACAAATTCCTACACAAATGACCACAACTGTTGGCCAACTGGATAATTTCGATCCAAACAAAGAAAATTGGGAGTGTTTCTTCGAAAGATTCGAGCAATTCACCGTAATCAACAACATCGCGCCAGAGCGACAAGTGGCATGTTTACTCGCGGTAATGGGGTCCATCGACGTATGGCATTCTACGAAACCTTGTTTACCCGGAAAAGCCCAAGGATAAGTCTCTGGATGAAATTTCTAACATTCTTGAGGAACGTTTCACCGAGAAAAAGGTGTAAATAGCCAAAAGATTTAGGGTTCTACACCGCCATGCAAGAGTCACAAAGTATTGCGCAATTCGTGCCTCGTCAGAAAAAGTTGGCAAGGTATTGTAATTTCGGAGACTAGCTGAATGATATGATTCGTGACTGACTGGTGTGTGGAATCAAAGATCGAAATACCCAAAAGAAGCTGTTGGTGGAAAGTGGTTTAACCCTAGAAAAAGGCATTTAAGTAGCGATCGCCGACGAAGCAGCGAACAAAGACGTCGCAGAGCTCGCGAAAGCTAGAGGCCTGGTTTCAACCAACGAAGTTCATTGAATGAAAGCCACACCTTCAAAGCTGCCAAAACCAAAAACAAATAAAGAAGACAACCCTCATGGAGAAACAAAATGTAAACACTGTGGAAAAAGAAACCACCCTGCAGAAAAATGCAAATTCAAGCGTGCTATATGCCATAAATACAAAAAAAGGGCACAATGCACCTGTTTGTAAGTCTCCAAAGACATCTCAAGTTCATGCAGTCGAGGAAAAGCTCTCAGACTCTGAAGAAAACACAAATGAAGAATTTGATGACTACTCTTACCTGTACAACA